CATGCTGGGTAAGATGGAGGGCCAGAGAAAAAGAGGAAGACCCCCAACGAGATGGATCGGCCAGGTGGCATCATTGATGGCATCAAGTGTGCCAGCAGTAGTGAGGTTGGCCCAGGATTGGACATTGTTTCGTTCTGCTGTGCATGGGGTCGCTATGAGTCGCTTCCGACTCGATGGCACCTAACAACAACAACAACATAGCTTTATTATTTTTTTTAACAGCTGCACCATACTCCATAATGTGACTGTGCTACAATTTACATAACATTCCTCTATAAATGAGCAGATAATATCTTTGCACATGTCCCTTATATATTGTATAAAAATTTCTAAGATATTTGGTACAAGATACAAGGGTAAGTCAAAAAGTATTGCTGCCAGAGTTCATACTTGCATGGGTTTATTCCAAATAAAATATGTCTCTGTGATCTGTGGATGGCTACAGACAAGTTCTCTCCGTACTACATTTGTCTTTCCAACTTTCCTTAAGTGGTGGCTTCAAAAAAGAGAATACTTTTTGCATCATGGAAAAAAATGATTTTGAGGTCAGGGCTAATACCAAATTTTTAACAAAATCAAAGTGAAAATCTTCCCAAATCATTAGAGCTTTTCAACAAGTTTTTGGGAATGCTACCATACATAAAATAACAGTTTCTTGATGAATCAAGAAACTTCCTTTTAAGGAAGATCAGGAAGACCTCAAAGATAAACTCAAGGCCGAATGAGAGAGAGCAGCTCACAAAATTATTGTGGTGCATGTAAATTACTTACCATGGCCTTTCTAGCCATAGTCTTTGTAGCTCCCACCAAACAACTGGGTGTGTTATACCCTCTTTTCCTGATGGGTCTGGGTAAGAGAAGGTACGGGGAAATGCTGATAAAATTATGTTTCAGTTGTGAATGATTGCCAACTGTGAAGAATAACTGTGGTTCTATAAACTGAGAACTCTAATGAGGGGAGTGGTTAATTTTGTCATCCTGTTGGGTATAAAAAGCCATCTCAGCAGCAAAATGGGAGACTTCACTACCATCAAGAAAGAAGAGCCAGGAGTGGAGAGATCCCTCTACTTTGAAACTTCTCAATCCAATGACAGAAAGCTGTGACACAACAGAAGTATTAGAGGAGCAGCAACAGTAGAGCCAAGATCCAGAACATGAGACAGAGTGGTGGGATTCCTGGCCCATGTACAGCTAGCGGACCCCAGGGTGAAAGCTGGCTATTTCTAGAATGACATTCCTGAGGACAAGTCTGCAGAGGTGGCAGCCTCTCCACAGGGAACAAAGGGGCTTCAGTCCAATGTGCTGGTATCCAGCACAGGGAGGTGTAGTGAGAGCTAGATGATGTCATGCCATTCAAAAATTCATTCTGTGGCCAGAAAGGGCCACCAAATACATTTCTCTTTTAGCAGTATGATTAAAACTCTACCATCCTCCATGAAATAATTATGAAGAGTCATTAGTTAACTGGTTATTTCATTCAATCTAGCAAGTAGCAATATTTTTAAAGAATCTGCTACACAGAAGATAAAATATTGTGGAGTTGGGTGCCTCCAGGCACTTAACTTGAAGAGCTAATTTTGCTGTTTCCTGGAGTTAGAGACAAGTGCCTTCAGCCTGAGGTTAACAGTGGAATGCCTTTTGGGCATTTATGAACAGCCTAAAAGAACCTAGCAGGGCAGAGGCCAGGGGGCTGTATGACTGAAAGGCAAGGACAGAGAGAGGCATGCTTAATTGGAAGAACTGTATTATGAGCATTTCTGATCTTGAAATGGAACCTATTAACTTCCCTAATAAAGCCCATAATCATGAATGTGGTCTGTAAGTTCTGTGTGGCCATTGCTATGAATTATCAAACCCATATGAGGAGTAGAGTGTTGTGGGAGGGAGGGATGGTATCAGAATTGGTCTTGTACTGATGAGTTTGATCCTCCTTCTCCATCATGAAGTCTGAGAAAATCAGACACTGCACCCATGCCATTTTTTAATAGTGGTGACTGTTTTGTGGAATTTGCAAGGGATAATCTTTATAGATTTTCTCGAAGGACACAGAATGATCTTGGTGACTTATTAGGAAAACTTTTTTTTTTTTTTAATGGAAAACTGCATGGGTGAGAAAAAGGTCAAGAAGGTTATACTGAGGAATTTTTTCCATCTTCAAGGGTAGAAAGGGCTGACCTAGGGGAATTTCACTGGAAAACCTATGCCATACACCCCTGATCTTGCCCCTTCAGACTTCTTTTTGTTCTCCAAACTCAAAGAATGTTGAAGAGGAACATGGTTTGAGTCCCTTGAAGGTGCCAAAATTGCTGTTTTGATGTGGTGTAAATCAAAGAATGCAGAATTCTTTGGGGAAGGGCTAGGGAGATGGAGCCACTACCTTCAGAAGTGTATAGATGTAGATGTCAAGTAACAACAACTCCACATTTTATTGTTTATGTTTGCTATGAATCAGAACTGACTTGATGACACTTAATAACAACAACAAGAAGATGATTGTGTAGTAATAGCCTTGTATCTAGAAGTAGATTTGATGAGCATGTTTAATTTTTTTTTCAAATAAAATAAAAAAACAAACATGTTCATCACTATTTCTCTTTCTTTTGCAGAGAGTTCTATCTTGGGAACTGACATTGACCTTCAGACTATAGACAACGATATTGTCAGTATGGAGATGTTCTTCAAAGCCTGGCTACATAACAGTGGAACAGACCAAGAGCATATCCATCTCCTTCTTCCTTCAGTGTGTTTCAGCAGCTTTTCCATAGCCAAAGAAAACCCAAGTACACAACCCCCAAAAGACCTACTATATAAGCTATGATTATTCTAGTCTAAGATTCAAATTCTAGGTTAGTGAGTCATCAGAGTACAGAGTTGAAGCATAGGGGTTAGATGAAACTATCCAGTGTAAACATAAGAATTAAGAAGATAAATTCTAAAAAGTGACCGTAGTTAGAAAAACCTCATCTAATCAATCCCAGTCAGCAAGGGCCAATTATTTTAGGGTCAGTAGTGGGGCATCAGCTCTACTACATAAGAACATGAATAATCAGCTGTTCTTTTCTACATAGTCTAATTTGTAATGGAGTAAATACTGCTGACATCATCATTTGAGGCATGCTCGTATTTCAACAATATCAATAGGACCTGTGGGGAGAAAGACAGAACTAAGATTAAATAGAGATTTTTCTCTCTACGGAGGCACCAAACTAAGGAGAACCAAAGCAACGATAGAAGCAGGCCCCTGTAGAGGTATCCAGTCAGTGACTCAAGACCATATTCATCTTTAGGCAGTTATCAAAACCAAGAAATCCAATCCAGTATTCTGTATATACCAACAAAGTCCTGGATATTGTTCTGGCTGCTAACAATACTTAATTCCAGGTCCCACCAAATGGTAGGAATCAGACCATTTCTATTGTAGGTCATTTATACTATTCCATTCCTTTGAAGATTGACTCAGAACTTGGGGTGGCAGGACTTGCAGATGAGCCTGTAGGCATAATCAGTCACACTGAGCTTGAATACTGACTCCTTAGAGCTCTTTCTTTAAGGATAGAAGTGTGTGCCCATTTTTCTCATTGAACAGAATCTTGGTAGTGACTTCAGAGATTAGTAGAGGATTGAAAGCTAGATTGGACATCATGCTTCTCACAGGCTCAGACACAAAACACTGGAGTCTCGGCTTCCTTCAAGGGTTCTTTCTTAGCCATTAGCAGTATATTTGTACTCACATGCATGTCCCCTTTTCTTCATCTGGAACTGTTATGAAACTTTTCTGTCTGACCCGGGTCTCTGTCAGGACAGAGAGAAACTCTTTGGAGAATTATAAGTTTCTTAAATCCCTTTCTTTCTGGGTATAGCCATGGGGTCTCTACTCCATCCCTCTATTTCAACCTAGGACCTGGGTTGCCTTTGATTACTTTACTTTAATCTGTCTTATCATTGTGTATAAAATCTCCTTCCCAGGAACTCCTTTCCACTCCTTTTGTCTAAGGCTCATAATACCAATTCCTCTCTGTTCCATCCTCTGGAATTCACTAATCAACAAGGGTAAGTCAAAAAGTATTGCTATTAGGGCTCCAATTCATACATGTATATGCTTATTGCAAACAAAATGTGTTTAAATGTGTCTTTGCAATCAATAGATAGCTACAGACAAGTTCTCTCAGTAGTGCACTTGTCTTTGTCTAATTAGGGTGTCTTTTAAAAAAAAAAAAAAAGATCCAATCAAAACAGTGGTTTTGATTCAAGGTAGGAAAATCAGCTAGGAAAGTTATGGCAACTGTTTCTTTGGTATCCCCAAGATGTAATCTTGATAGATTTTTCTCAAAGGATATAGGAGGATCACAAGGACTTACTAGGATTTTTTTTTTAGAAAACTTAAAACTACTTTGGATGAGAAAACATCTAAAAAACCTTACACTGAGGAACTATTTTTTTCCATCACGACAATGCACCTGCTCATTGGATTAGCAAGGGCTGTTCTAGGAGGAGCATTTCATTGGAAAACCTACCCTATCCACCTTACAGTCCTAATCTTGCCCCTTCAGACATCTTTTTGTTTCCAAAATTCAAACATTTTGAAAGAACACAATTTGAGTCCCTCAAGAAAGCTATAGCTCCCGTTTTGACATGGTATAAAAGGAAGAGCACAGATGCTTTAGAGAGATAGAAACACTGCTTTTAGAAGTATATAGATGGAGAATATATTGAGAAACAGCTTCACAATTCAATATTTTTGTTTAGTAAACGTTTCTATGATTTTATAGCAATACTTTTTAATTTATCTTCATACATTATTTTCGCTGTTTTGCAGTGGAAAAAACTAAAGACTTAGAGAAATTAAACACGTAACCCAGAACTGCACAGAAAATTAGTAGCAGAGCAGGATTTGAATCCAAGTAATGTCGGGACCCGCTCTTTACCATTAGGATCTAAAATCTATATTTTATACAAATGACTATTCTTAGCCCACAGGATGTTAATCAAACCCAGGCCTATCTGCCTCCAGAACCTGGCCCTTACCTATGACACTAACCTGCCTGGTACTGAGCAATTCTGAGCAAAGGAGCTGGAGGTTTACTTCTCTCAATAGAAGGGCTATTGTTGTCAAGTTTCAACTGATAGAGACCCTATATTGTGTTTCCAAGGAGCAGCAGGTAAGTTTGAACCACCAACCTTGCAGTTAGCAGTCCAGTGCTTATCCTGCAGTGCTGCTAGAGTCCCTCAAAAGGCCATACATAAACTCCTATAACCAGTTTTTCTCTGCTTCCCCTGTTGTGTAGCATTTGCTTATGGTGCTGATTAGAATTCTCTGCTTTCCTCTCTCGTCTCAAGTCTTTCAGCACCAGGGTCAGAGCCAGAAATTTTATCTGGAAACCCACTAAAGTTTTCTTAGATACAGTTAGTTCCATGTTAGAACTTAGATGAAAGCTCCAGTCAGCATGTCTGCCAGGTAGGACTTCACTGGACTTTCAGATCAGACACATGGAGTGAAGTCTGAAAAAAGGAGCCCTCCTCTGGGGTGGACAGGCCCCAGCTGAGATTTCAAACAACCATACAGTAAAAACCACACTATCCTTATCCATTATTTAAAAAAAAACAAATGCATTGCCATATCCATTTGAAATGAAACAAATCAAAACCAAAAGGCATGAATCCTCCTATTGTAGAGTCGTCTGAAGAATGTCCTTTTGACTCCTCCTTACAAGGTTCTCCATTTGATGCCACCAGCTTCTTTATCTGCTTGCCCATCGCTAGGTGCTTCCCACTGACAGTACACAATCAACTACAGACAAGTGTCATCTCCTTTCTTGGACTTGGGACTTAACTGTTTCTACAGCTAGCTTTTGGGTGAGACGCATACCCGATTCTAGATTCCAGCCCTGCTAAAACATATTACATAGCTTTGGAATAGTCAACTGAGACTGCAGTTCCTGTAGTTTTCAGCTCTGGATGCAGTAAGAATTACATAGGGGAACTTTTTAAAATATCACTATCTGGACACCATCCCTAGAACCCCGGTGGTACATTGGTTAAAGAACTTGGTCGGTGGTTCAAACCCACCAGTATTTTTTAAAAAGTTCTCCTAGTGATTCTTATTCAGCCAGGATTGAGATCCTAAGCTAGAGGAATACAGTTGCCCAGTTCTGAAGCCCAAAGACCCAGAATTCAGACATGGGAGGAAATGAGAGGAAGCTAAGAGTCCTGAGCAAAGCCCTTTCTACTTACTTCCTGGGTTCTGGGAAGCACTAGGCTGAGAGCTGTCTCGCCCAGAATTAGTGTCTTGGTCTGATTCACTGTACTCACAAGGGTTAGCTGGATCTGACCCCTACTCTACCATTCTATTTGTTTTTTTCCTACTTTATTTCTACTTTTGTTTTTGCCTCATATTGCAGTTAATACAGTCATCTGATGCATCACTAACACCAACTACTAGATTCACCTTCTCACAAGTTCTGAACGTTCTTATTCTAAGTCTGTTACCAGTACTCAAACTGGGTATCCATTTTATTTTAAAATTTTATAATATCAAGAATTCAAACCTAATGCCACAGAACATTGTACACTGTCATTGCTGGAGCAGAAGCATGATACCAAAGATACCTACATGAGGAACTTTTACCTAGACTAAGGCTTCTTCGGGACGGTTGTCTGCCTCAATGATGATCCAAAGCTTTTTTTTTTTTTTTTTTTAATCAAGTCTTATACGCAGGGTTAAAGAGCTCTGGTAGCTGGTAGTGTAGTGGTAGGTGTTGGACTGGTAACCTCAAGGTCAGCAGTTTTGAAACTACCAGCCGTTCCACGGGAGAAAGATGAGGCTTTCTGCTCCTTTAAGATTTACAGCCTCGGAAACCCCATACAGGGTCACTATGAGTCGAAACTGACTCCACAGCACACCACCACACACAGGGTTCTTTAGGGAATTAAAAAAATAAGCTATTTCAGGAACTTATTCCTCCCCTCCCCCAAAATGTCCCTAGAAGAGCCCACAGAGAAACTAGCTGTCAGCTGACTAACTGCTTGACTTCTGCTTTCCTGCTCTTCCTTTAGTTGACAGCAGTCTTGCCAAAGCTTAGTCACAGGGAAGATGCAGAGGCAAGATTTCCTTCTCTGATTGACAAAGCGTCTCCACATATTGTCAAGTTAACTGTCTCCTCCACAGAGGACACAAACTCCATCAGGTTGGATCACAAACTGAATCTCAATATGAGGCAACTGCTCAGCCAGCCCAGGAGAAAACAAAAATCATTTCAAACCCAGAAAATGAATTAGCTATAGCATAGAGTAATAGAGATACTGTCAATTCCCAAACCAATCTTGCTGTCTTCTTTCTACTCCCCTGCATCCTCCCAACCTTTGTTTACTGGGAGAGATGGAATGGATGGCAGATGTTGTCATCTCTTAATCATATAGCCTGGGGTAAACTGTGACCTGTAATTCCTCCCCCAATGTCATTTTATTGTAGTGTGTCTGAAATGTGATCTCCAAGAGCGACTCCTCAGCCCATCCCTGCTCCCTGGCACAGCTGACAGCTCCGTGAGACTGGATGACCCCAAAGGAGACTTCAGCACAATCTACCAGATGGCTTCCCAGTCATCAGCTTCTCGTTACAAACTCCGGGTGATCAAGTATGGGCCAAAAGAACCTCCCCAACCTATGCAAATGCTTATTCTTCATGGCTAGATAGTCCAGAAAGGGAGGCATCTCTGAGTGTCAGACAGGCCAGGAGTCCATTCCAAAGCAGCAGTTACATCTACAGGCATAAAGGAGCAAGTAGAGACCAAATGAGCAGATGTGGAAAGGTGTGCCTCATGGAACATTCTAAGGTCTAGATAAGAATTGGAATCCAGAAAGTCTCTGAAAATAGAGCTAGACAAGATCAATACAGTGTGGGGGCAGGGTAGAACTTTACTTTCAATTTATTTATTGGATACTTACAATGTTTAGGTGATAAAACAACAATCTGATCTCCAAGGAGCAAGTAGTACATAAAGTTGACACTACCCCATTCCCATTTCTCTAAGAACTAAAATCCCTGCTTCTAGAGGAACTAATTCTAGGGTACAATTAGCAACTATGGCAAAGATCACGTTTACTGTTTCTCGAAGCAACAAAAAAATTCCAGAAAGTCAGTGTACTGTGTTGTTGTTAAGTGCCCTCAAGTTGAAAAGTGACTGGTGAACTTGAACCACTGACCTTGCAGTTCAAACCGACTTTGCAGTCCAGCATATTAACCCACAGTGCCACACCAGGACTTCCAGTATACTGTTGTTGTTATGTGCCATGGAGTCAGTTCCAACTCATAGTGACCCTGTACAGGATTTCCAAGGCTGTAAATCTTTAATGGAGCAGAAAGCCTCATCTTTCTCCCACAGAACAGCTGGTAGTTTCGTGCTGCTGACCCTGAGGATAGCAGCCCGATTCGTAACCACTATGCTACCAGAGCTCCTTAGTGTGCTGTAGTGGGAGGCATTTTTCACAAGCATCAACTCATTCATTCAACAATAACAACAAATTTTTTTGCATAACTTCTACATGACAAGACTTGCTTCCAATTTTAACCTTCCTGGCCCTCTTTTAACAAGTTTGCAGTACTTCTTTAACTCATCATTGGTTTTAATCTTCTGAAAGTTTTAGCCATGAAAACACTGTGGAGTACAGCTCTACTCTTAAACACATGGGGTCGCCATGAGTCAGAATCTACTCAACAGCAACTGGTTTATTTTTTGTTATAACCTAAAGACTTTAACTCACCACTCATTTGTCAGTTTGTTGTACTGTGGTGGCTGTGTGTTGCTGTGATTCTAGAAGCTATACCATGGGTATTTTAAATATATGCGTGGTCACCCATGGTGGACAGGTTTCAGCTGAACTGAAACGAACAGACTAGGAAGAAGGAGAGATGAATTATTTCCAAATATTTAGTCACTGTAATGCTTATGAAAAGCAGTGGGACACTGTCAGCACCAGAATTTAGGATATTAAAACCTGATGAAGAGCATCAGAATATTGTTAGATGTGGTGCTGGAAGATGAGCCTCTCAGGTTGGAAGGCACTGAAATACGACTTCTCAAAGTAGAGTTGACCTTGGTGACACAAATGGATTAAAGCCTTCAAGACCTTCATTTCCTGGTGGGGAACAACTTACAATGAAGAAAAACAGCTGTAAACATCCATTAATAGTCAGAGCATGGAATGTATGAAGTATGAATCTAGGAAAATTGGAAATTGTCAAAAATGAAATGTAAGGCATAGACATTGATCTCCTAGGCATTAGTGAGCTAAAATAGACTGCTTTTGGCCATTTTGAATCTGACAATCACATGGTTTACTATGCCAGGAATGATAAACTGAGGAGAAATGGTGTTGCATTAATCATCAAAGAGAACATACCAAGATCTGTCCTGAAATACAATACTGTCAGTGTTAGGATAATACACCTACAAGGAAAACCGGTTAATGCTACTGTAATTCAAATTTATATACCAACCACTAAAGCCAGTGATGATGAAATTGAAGAATTCTACCAACTTCTTCAGTCTGAAATTGATCAAAATGCAATCAAGATGTATTGATAATTACTGGTGATTGGAATGCAAAGATTGGAAACACAGAGGAAGGATCAGTAGTTCAAAAACATGGCTTTGGTGATAGAGATGATGATGGAGATCGCATAATAGAATTTTGCAAGACCAATGACTTCTTCATTGTAAATACCTTTTTTTAAACAGCATAAAAGATGACTATATACATGGAATACACAGAAATCAAATTGACTGCATCTGTGGAAAGAGGCGGTGGAAAATCTCCATATCATCAGCTAAAACAAGGTCAGGGGCAAACTGTAGAACAGACCATCAAATGTTCATTTGCAAGTTCAGGCTAACACTGAAGAAAATTGAAACAAGTCCACAAGAACCAAAATATGATCTTGAACATATCCCACCTGAATTTAGAGATCATGTCAAGAACAAATTTGATACATAAGACAATTAAGACCAAACCAGAAGAGTTGTGGGATGACATCATACAGGAAGAAAGCAAAAGGTCATCAACTTTTTGGTTTAAAGACCAAAATTGATGTGAGAAGAGTCTCTGAAACTTGGTTTCCATTGTAGAGATGCTAAAGGAAATGAAAGAAATGAGAAGATAAAAGTGCCAAATAGAAAAATTCAAAGGGCAGCTTGAGAAAACAAAGTCAAATATTATAATAAAATGTGTAAAGACCTGGAGTTAGAAAACTTGAAAGGAAGAACATGCTCAGCACTTCTCAAGCTGAGGGAACTGAAAAAAAAAAAAAAAAAATTCAAGCCTCAACTTGCAATATTGAAGGATTCTATGGGCACCAAAAGGAAATGGTTAATGTTCAACTGTTTCAAGAGATCGCATATGATCAAGAGCCAATGATACTGAAGGAGGAAGTCCAAGCAAGGTGTGTTGAAGGAATTGGCAAAGAACAAGGCACCAGAAATTGATGGAATAAAAACTGAAATCTTTCAAGAAAGTGAAGCGGCACAGGAGGCACTCATTCATCTCTGCCAAGAAATTTGGGAGACAACTATTTGGTTGGCTGATTGGAAGAGACCCATATTTGTGCCCATTCCAAAGAGAGGTGACCCAATGGAATGTGGAAATCATCGGACAATCTCTTTGATATCCCAAGCAAGTAAATTTTTACTAAAGGTAATACAGAAATGGCTGCAAGCATACATTGACAGAGAACTTCCAGAGGTTCAAGTCGGGTTCAGAGGAGGCCGTGGAACGAGGAATATGATTGCTGATGTCCGTGGATCTTGGCTGAAAGCAGAGAATATCAGAAAGATGTTTACCTTTGCTTTATTGACTACGCAAAGGCTTTCAATTGTGTGGATCATTACAGCTATGGACAACATTGCGAAGTATGAGTATTCTGGAGCACTTAATTGTGCTCATGAGGAATCTGTACCTGGACCAAGAAGCAATTGTTCGAACAGAACATGGGAACACTGAATGGTTTAAAATTTAAAAAGGTGTGCGACAACGTTTTATTCTTTCACCGTACTTATTCAACCTGTATGCTGAGCAAATAATCCGAGAAGCAGAGTTATATGAAGAAAAACGTGGCATCAAGATTGGAGGAAGACTCATTAACAGCCCGCAATATGCAGATGATACAACTTTGCTTGCTGAAAGTGAAGAAGACTTAAAACATTTATTGATGAAGATCAAAGAGCACAGCCTTCGGTATGGATTATATCTCAATGTAAAGAAAATGAAAATCCTCACCACTGGACCAATAAACAAGATTCTTATCAATGGAGAAAAGATTGATGTTGTCAAGGACTTCATTCTTCTTGCATCAACTATCAACACTCACGGAAGCAGCAGTCAAGAAATCAAATGACGTTTTGCATTGGGAAAATCTGCTGCACCAGACCTTTTTAAAGTGCTGAAGAGCAAAGATGTCAGCTTAAGAACTAAGGTGCACCTGACCCAAGCCATGGTATTTTTAATATCCTCATATGCATGTGAAAGCTGGACAGTGGATAAGGAAGACCGTAGAAGAATTGATGCTTTTGAGTTATGGTGTTGGAGAAGAGTATTAAAAGTACCATGGGCTGCCAAAAGAACCAATAGATCCATTTTGGAAGAAGTGCAGCCAGAGTGCTTCTTGGAGGCCAAGAAGGCCAAACTTTGTCTCTCATACTTCGGACATATTGTCAGGAGGGACCAATCGCTGGAGAAGGATATTGTGTTTGGTAAGGTGGAGGGTCAGAGAAAAAGAGGAAGACCTCCCAACGAGATGTATTGGCCAAATGGCAGCAATCATGAACTCAAACATGGCAATAGTAATGAGGTTGTCGCAGGATCAGACAGTGTTTTGTTCTGCTGTGACCCGTAAGGTCACCATGGGTCGGTACCGACTCAATGGCACCTAACAACAACAACATGGGCAAAATATTGAATGATGCAGAAAGCATCAAAAGAAGGAATACACCGTCACTGTGCCAAAAAGAAATAATCAGTGTTCAACCATTTCCAGAGGTACATATGACCAAGAGCCAAAATTACTGAAGGAAGAAGTCCAAGATGCATTGAAGGCATTGACAAAGAAGGCACCAGGAATTGATTAAATACAAATTGAAATCTTTTAACAAACTGATGCAGCACTAGAGGCGCTCACTCATCTATGCCAAGAAATCTGGGAAAAAACCATGTGGCCAACTGACTGGAAGAGATCCATATTTGTGCCCATTCCAAAGAGAGGTGACAGAACGGAATGCGGAAATCACTGGACAATAGCATTAATATCACATGCAAGTAAGATTTTGCTAAATATAATTTAAAAACGATGCAACCATACATTGACAGAGAACTTTCAGAGATTCAAGCCGGATTCAGAAGAGGATGTGCAACGAGGGATACCCATTGTCAGATGGCTAAAAGCAGAGAATACCAGAAAGATGTTTACCTGTGTTTTATGTACTATGTGGCTCATAGCAAGCTATGGACAACATTGTGGAAAGTGAGTATTCTGGAACACATAATTGTGCTCTGAGGAACATGTACATAGACAAGAACAGGACAAGGGAAGACTGAATGGTTTAAAATTAGGAAAGATGTATGCCAGGGTTGTATTCTTTCACCATATTTATTCAATCTGTATGCTGAGCTGCCAGGGGTCCTGTGTCGGGGTCCCGCCTCAACAAAGGACCACCTCGGCAAACGCGGGGTTTAACGGAAGTGAGATGTCTAGTAGGCGAAAGAAAAGAGACAGAGACAAAGATTGATGCAAGCCGACAGGCAAGCTAGCACACCAAGCTAGCAGAGCCCCAGTCTTTTATTATCAGGAGAAGGAAATTGACTCAAAAGAAAATAATGACAAAAATGCTGATTATTCACTTAGGACAGGATACGAGATCATTCATGTGATACAGAACATGATGATTCACAAATTTATCCTTAACATATTTTTGCATACATCATGATTTAACCTAATAACCTAAAATTCTTATTTCTATTAAAAAGTTCAAGCAAGCAATTATAGATTACATATTAACTTTTAGGTCTGTGTAACCCAGGGCAGCAACTTGCGGTTTCTTAAAGGTGTTTAACATATTTTCAAACCTTAATCACAAGTGGGTAAAGGTGAGAGGCTTTAGAGTTTTTACTAAAGACTAAGTTATATTTTCTAAAGAAACTTAAACTGCTCTGTGTCTTTTGCAGGCAAAAAATACATGCTTTTGTTAGTGAACAAGATTTCAGATACCTAACTTCCATTGTTAAACTAATAATTCTTTTTACCTTGCTTCTACAGTTATAGGGAAGGTGAAAAACAGGTTTTGACTTTTCTAAGAAGGTGCGGTCTTACTTTTACATTCTTTTAATCCTATTCCAGTTTCTATATCTAGATATAACAATGTTCATTACTATTATATTTCCAATATACCCTTGGGGGGAAGAGGAGTAATTAAATCATATTGATCAAACCCGGGAGCAGTTTGGGGGTGCATAAAATTATCACATACAGCAAGATTCCCATGAAAAACATCAAGAGCATAACAGACATACACAGGGGTGTTTCCAGGGAGTAGCTACTAGTTTCAGTGTTATTATTGTACATGGGCATTAACAGCTCATGTATCTGTTTAATATTAAACATAACTAAGTAGTTGGTTAGAAAACAATTGTTACATATTCTCTGCGTTGCTACATCCTGTTTTTCTGTATTTTTATTTCTCATGGTCTCATGCACAACTCTTGTTACTGGGGCAGTGACATTTACATGAGAGCCATTGATCAGAACGTTGTGCGTATTATTACTAAAAACAATCACTTTCCCAGAAGCTACAATTACCGGAGTTAAGAGCATAAAGAACAAGTACAGAATGCACAAAAGTATAATTAAAGAAAATTGCACAGAGGTGGCCAAACAGTGCGTTCTCCAAAGCCTATGAACCTGGGACTTCAGGGAGTTACTTCCTTGGCCCTCGGGGTCCATGGCCCGTAAGCCTGAGGAGGGCTCAAAGACTGGATTTTCGTCCATGTTATCCTTGTGCCTCAACTTCTCAGTGCTGATTACGTATGCTGCGGCCGCCAGTACTGAGCAGATAGTCCAAATAGCTGGATTATGTGAAGAAAAATGTGGCATCAGGATTGGAAGAAGACTCATTAACAACTTGTGATATGCAGATGATACAACCTTGCTTGCTGAAAGTAAAGAGGACTTGAAATACTTACTGATTAAGACCAAAAACTACAGCCTTAGGTATGGCTTGCACCTTAATGTAAAGAAAATAAAAATCCTCACCACTATAAATAACATTCAGATAAATGAAGAAAAGATTGATGTTGTCAAAGACTTCATTTTGCTCAGATCAACCATCATAACTCATGGAAGCAGCAGTCAAATATCAAATGACATATTGCATTTGGCAAATCTGCTGCACAAAACCTCTGTAAAGTATTGAACTGCAAAGACATCAGTTTGAGGACTAAGGTGCACCTGACCTGTTGCTGTTGTTGTTATGTGCCATGGAGTCAGTTCTGACTCATAGTGACCCTGTACAGGGTTTCCAAGGCTATAAATCTTTACGGGAGCAGAAAGCCTCATCTTTCTCCTACGGAACAGCTGGTAGTTTCAAACTGCTGACTATGAGATTAGCAGCCTGATTCGTAACCACTATGCTACCAGAGCACCTGACCTAAGCCGTGTTATTTTCAGTAACCTCATTGTTGTTGTTGTTGTTGTTATGTGCCATCGAGTCGATTCCGACCCATAGCGACCCTGACCTCATAAGCATGTGAAAACTGGACAGTGAGGACTGTAGAAGAATTGATGTATTTGAGTTATGAAGTTGGAGGAGAATATTAAAAGTACCATGGACTTCCAAAAGAACAAACAGGTCTATGTTGGGAAAAGTACAGCCAGAGTGCTCCTTGGAAGCCAGGATGGCAAAACTTAATCTCTCATACTTCAGACATATTATCAGGAGGGACCAGTTCCTGGAGAAAGGATATTGTGTTTGGTAAAGTGGAAGCTCAGAGAAAAAGAGGGAAGACACCCAACAAAATGGATTGGCACAGTGGCAGCAGCAATGGGCTCAGGTATGCAGCAACGATTGTGAGGTTGGCACAGGACCAAGCAGTGTTTCATTCTCTTGTGCATAGGGTTGCTATGAGCTGGTACTAACTCAGTGGCACCTAACAATAAAAAACTACTTTCACGTTAGGGTCATAGACTTATTAAACTGAATTTTAATGCCTCTGGGTGAAGGTTCTGGCTGTCACTACAATCATTCACTCCCATTGTCTCTCTTCTTAGGGCTCTAAAATTCAGTGGTGTTTGTGAATCACTGATGTTTGGACTCCCATTCATCCTCAGACCCACAAGCTGTTGGCAGCTGGACTGGGATGAGCTGGAAACAAATCAGCAGCATTTCCATGCTTTGTGTCACAGCTTACTGGTGAGTACCTACATCCCCTGGTGAGGAATGTTGTTGTTAAGTGCCTTTGAGTCAGTTCTGATTCATAGCAACTCTATATAGGGTTTATAACTATCAGCTGGTGGGTTTGAACCACCAACTTTATAGTTGGCGGTTATCCTACAACGCCATACCAAGACTCAGAAGTATTAAAGCTCTACCCACAGAAAAGCAGCTAACTTAATCCTGCTCTAACCCTAGACTTGTCCCAGTTCTCAAGAAGATAGGGAAAACCTGGAAATACTCTGAAGTGTAAAGCAAATGTGACTTACATTTGTTAGTTCGATGCTATAGAGAATAACTCCTGAATTTAGTCACACTAAATCTGAAAATCTCTGATTTTGTAGGGTGAGTATTCAAATGGAAAAAGAGAAGTTTCCATAGGTAAACTGTATTTTAAGTCCTACCTCTTTCTAATACTATGCTGGACATTACCATTTATTTAAATGAAAAACAACTGGTGTGTGGCCAGTTTTGAACCAGCCCTAGATATTCAGCAGTACCTGAGGAGGCATTATCTACAGCCTCAGGAAATTTAGTCTGTGATGGAAGAGACAAAAAGTTTGTGGGAAAAAAGAAATTAAAAGATAATTGAATTTTCCCACAAACTTTTTAAAGCCATCCTTCCTGAGTTGTACAAATAGTTAATGCACTCACTTGCTACTGAAAGATTGGGGGTTCAAGTCCACCTCAAAAGAAAGACCTGGTAATCTACTTTTGAAAAACTAAGCTATTGAAAACCTATGGAGCACAGTTCTATAATATCTGGGTCTGCCATGAGTCAGAATGAACTCAACAGTAACTGGTGTGTGTGTGTGTGTTTATTCTTAATTGTGATTATTTTATGAAGAAGAGATTGCTATAAGAAGACTTCTCTGTGAAAGTGCCATTTAAACTGAGACTTGCAAGATGAATGAGAATGAGCCAGGTGAAAGGTGGCAGGAAGAGCATCCCAAGTGCAGGGAAAGACATGTACAAAGACCTTAAGGCTAGAAAGAGGTGAGGTACAAACCAAGGACAAGAGATCATTTTTACTGAAATACAGAGAGCAAGGGAGACAGAACCAAAGACAGGGTTGGAGAAGTGAGCAAGGTCAAATCACACAGAGCTGTGTAAGCCAAATGAAAGATTTGGACTCTATTTTAAATTCTTTAAAAATCCATCCATTTTAAGTCATGAAAAAATAACACCATCTATTTAAGTTAAAAGACTTGCTGTTGTTGGTAAGTACTGTCAAGTCGGTTCTAACTCATAAGATACCCTGTATAGGGTTTTGCACTGAAATTTAGAAATAAACTAGCAGAAGCAAAAATGAAAGCAAGAAAGTTAGGTAGTAGCACAGGGCAGTGGTCAAGGCAAATGATGATGGTGGCTTGAACTAGATGCTGAAGTCAAGGTGAGAAAAGTACATAAATCTTTTAGAGACAGCCCCATCAGAACTTGAAGAATTGAATGTAGGGAGTGAGGAGGAGGAAAGCATCCAATAGCTACCCAGTTTCTTACTTGAACAACTAAGTGGGTGCCCTTTCCATAAATGGAAAAAATTAAAAAGCACACACATGAAACAGTAATGCAACAAGAAAGCAACACACAACAACAGCAAATACAATTCAAGGATGTGCATAACCACTACATGGATGTAGAATGAAAGTTTGACCCAGTCGGATGTGGGCGAGGGGGACAACACAGCAGAGTGTCTCTTTCACTATCAGAAACAGACTTCTTTTTTTCCTGTTTCAAAGCCCACACTCCCTTTTGGGTCCACCCACTGAGTTCCTGTTTCCTATCTGAAGAACACCCATCTCCTGTCTTTGCAGATCAGAGACAACAAATACAATCTGACTGTTAGTGCCCCACGGCTCAGTTTACTCTCTACTCCACCTAATTCCTCAGGATCTCAGAGATAACACCCCACCCAGGAGGAATTTCCAAGTGCCTCCGATAAATTTGTATAGTACATGGTATTTTAAACTTACACTGGCATTTTAATACATGATACAAGGAGTGTAAATTTTCTGGGAAGTAATAACTTTCCATACTTAAAGTCCATTGCTGGGAAAGTGGTCCAAGAACGCAGTCAGAAAAGGGAACGAAGATATATGTACCAGCATGTTCAGTTTGGAGTTATTTATAGAAGTAAATAAATAAATAAAAGGACATTAAATGCCTTAAATAGAGAGATGGTTAAATCTAATAGAGGGAAAGTTATAGGAGTTTTATTTAACCAATAAGATAATATATAACTTTTAAAAATAAGAATGGAAAAGAGTGTTCTCTTCCATCCTGGTTTATATACACAAAATCATAGACTCTCTGCTTCAGAATTTAGAGCTTGGGAATCTGTATTTATTTATTTGACAAATATTTACTGAGTGCTATTCTAGGAGACATAGATAGCTCTTCTTTACTGCTCCTCTCTCATGGAAACTCTTGCAAGTATGTGGTTGACCCATCACTAATATCCTTTTTAGGGCATTTACTAAATGCTAGTCACTTAACCAAGTGCTTTTTAAACTTTTTCTCATTTGATCCTAACAATAACTGTATTAAAGAGGGATGATAGATAGTCCCTACTTTTACAGATGAAGAGACTGAGGCCTAAAGAGGTGATTTACCAAAAATCACACCGATATTGGAAGGGAGTGAGTAAGAATTTGAGCCTAGTTCTGTTGTAACTAGTTCCTAATTTTAACTTCTTTGCAAACATCTACACTCTGGATGTGACCAGATAAACCCAGAATACATCACTGAGGCCAAGTCTTCTTTCACCTAGGCCCCAGGCTTCTGTACTTCATTAAACTTGAACTCACTTAAATTCTGACTGAGTACTTATAACAGCTCCTCAGTCATCTTGTGCTATTCTCTCCACCCTGTGTTTCATCCAGACTAAAGACCACTCTGCATTTCTTGAAAAGATAGAAGCAAAGTTTCAATGGATCTTTTCCTTGCTTTGCACATGACAACATCTTCTCTAAGCAGCAAAATTCCTGAAAGACAATGTGTTATAATGGAAGGAATTTTTCACAAGCATCAGCTCATTACTTCAATAATAACGAAACTTTTTTTTTGCATAACTTCTACAAAACAAGACTTCAAATTTTAACCTTCCTTGGCCCTCTTTTTACAAATTTACATCACTTCTTTAACCCATCCTTGGTTTTGTGTCCTTTCCTGTTCCTTTTTAATTTGCTCTTTAAAATCTGGTGTTGAGTCAGTTCCTTGTGGAACTTCTTGTCTTCTGTTTCTCATTGTTCTCTTTCATGTCAACTTCTCATTCTAACTTCTGTCTTTCTGTTAATAGCACTGCCACCACTGTCTGATCACCCAAGCTTGAAACCTCAGTTACTGTCAGCCATCTCACTTTTAAACCTACTTCATCACCAAGTCACATCAGATTTTCTTCTCACGAGTTAGAACTGCCCTTTCCTGTCCATTCCCACTGCTTGTTCTCACCAAGACTTCACCAGTACACTCCAAACCTGCTTCCCTACCTCTATTATCTTCCTTCTCTAATTTACCCTGCACACTGGCACCACATTAACCTTCTTGAAGCATTCTTCTGCTTATCATAGGTTTTATTTTTTTGTGGTGTCAATTCCCAATCACTACTAAGCTTTGCCTGTTCTGTTCCCAGTGCCTCTACTGCATTTATCTTCTCCTCTCCATTCTTATTGTCACTGTCCTAGTTCAGGTCCTTCTTACCTCATTCCTATAACACTCGTCTTAATGTCTTTAGTGTTTCCCTTTCCAATCCATTTTACATACTGCCACCAGATTAATCTTGAAACACAGCACAGATCTTGCTACACCTTGGCTTTGAAATGTTTTGTGGCTTCCTATTGCTTATATGGAGTCCTGGTATGGTGCTGTGGGTTAATGTGCCAGACTGCAAAGCCAGTTTGAACTGTAAAGTTGGCAGTTCAAGCTCACCCTGGAAACCCTATACAGGATCACTTTGGGTCAGAATTGACTCGATGGCACTTCACAACACAACATTGCTTATATGGAGTCCTGCTGTGGTACTGTAAGATAATTTGCTGGACCATAAGGTCAGTTTGAACCACAATATTGTCAGTTCACACCCACCAGTCGCTCCTCAGAAACCCTATACAGGGTCAGTAGGAGTTGGAACTGACTCGACAGCACTTAACAACAACTTTGCTTATATTCTAAAAGTACTTAGCCTAGCATTCATAGTCCAGTCTTGTCTTCCATTATTCTCCTTTCACCCATTCTATATTCTAACCAAATTAATATGCAAACCTCAAATTTTCCTACCTTTGAAACTTTGTTCATATTGTCCCCTCTCTCATCTCCATGTATTTAAATCCTACTCCATTCTGAAAGGTCTACCACAAATAGTGTTTCTTCATTGAGACCTTTCCAGATTCCTTTATTTACCATTAGGCCTTTGTGTGTTTTATTCCTTTTCAGAGAAAAGCATACTTCAAGATCCACATGATCCTATGATTTGGGGTCAAAGTGTAAGATATAAATTTGACTGCCCAGACTCCAAAATGACATGGTTACGTTTTCCTAGTATCTCTATCACTTCCTTATTTTACTTCCTAATTCCTTGACAACTTCAGTCTTTTCTCCATTTATCATGATGTTGCTTATTGGCCCAGTTGTGAGGACTTTTCTTTTTGTTATGTTGAGGTCTTATCCATATTGAAAGCTATAGTCTTTGATCTTTTTCAGTAAGTATTTCAAGTCCTCTTCACTTTCAGCAAGGTTGTGTCATCTGCATATCACAGGGTTTTAATGAGTCTTCCTCCAATCTGATGCTGCATTCTTCTTCATATAGTCTTACTTCTTGGATTATTTGCTAAGTATACACATTGAATAAATATAATAAAAGGATACAGTTCTGACACACACTTTTCCTGATATTAAACCACACGGTGTCCCCCTTTTCTGTTTAAAAGACTGCCTCTTGGTCTATCTATAGGTTCCGTATGATCACAATTAAGTGTTCTGGA